CTCCTCCTCATGCCCAAATGAAGCCCTGTTTTATTGAATCATACTCTCCGGCCATTCCCAGAGGGCACAATATGATAAAGTGACACAGGCATACAATGTGTTGTGAGCATCAGGGTGATATGAAGGTCCATCTGCTGCAACACTCATTTCTATGTATTGGGAGTAATTTTTTTCTTTTTTTTAAATGCTGCAACACTCATTTCTATGTATTGGGAGTAATTTTTTTCTTTTTTTTTTAATATTTATTTGAATTACAAACAAGATTGAATTACATGATGATCCCAGTTCCCTTCTCCCTCTACCACCCCCTGCAACTAAAATCCTACCTGTTGTATGTCCTTTCTTCTAATCTATACCTGACTCAAAATTTCTGCTTCCTCATGTATTGGGAGTTTTTATGCCCTTCTATTCATTTTGAAATTTATTAGGCATTTTTCAAAAAGACTAGATTCCTAGGCTGGCAAGATGGCTCAGCAGGTAAATGCTCTTGTCACCCAAACTTAACAACCCAAGAGAGCTCACTCTCCAAGTCACACACACACTAAAGCATGATTATTATTTTTTTTAAATGTTTTTAGAAAACTGGCTATAATAGGGAGGCTGAGTTTAAGATGATGCCCCCAACAAAACACTGATGTTCACCCTCCACTGTTTAGGATGTGTCACCTACTGCAGTCACTTATCTGACAGCCCATTAACTCTCTCACCAAGGAGCCTTCTTGGCTAAGTCAACAAGGGACACTAAGAAGTTGCCAGAGGCAGCAGACATGGCTGCCATACCTCAGCAGCTCTCACTTCAGCTTCCCAGGCTCTCTCTCATGAGGAGAAGCCCTTCTGCATCAGACCTGCCTTCAACAGTCTGGGCACCACAGTGTGGGGTGGTTTTGCGTTTCCACATGTTTTGCTGTAGAGAACACTGAGAGTGAACCCCCTCCCAGCAGAGTCCCCAGCTCTCCCCAGCCTCCTCAGGTGCCTCAGACTGCCTTTTACCTTAGTGGCCTTCAGCTCCCACTCATACTGGTTCCGTTCATTCTCCAGCTCTTCCACTTTGATTTTGAGGTGCTTGAGCTCTTGCAGTAACTCCTGGAGAAAAGAGGGAGAATGACAGAGCTGTGACAGATAAAGAGCATGAAAGATAAAGTCTCCAAAATGGATAAGTCACATGCAGAGGAAGTTGGGGGCAGTAGCAGGCTCCATGTCTGCAGCTTTGAACTTTAAACATGGTCTGTGATCCAGAAAAGGCCATGTGGTCATTTAAACATGAAGGCCAGAGAGTTCCAGACATAGGAGAGAAGAAACTGCAGAGTGTGTGTATGGGTGTGTGTGTACATACATGTGCATTTGTGTGTTCATACATGTGTTGGCCAGAGGACAACACTGGGTATTTTTTTTTTTTTTTTTTTTTTTTTTTTTTTTTTTTTTTTTTGAACAGGTGTCTTGCTGACTGGCCTTTCTTTCCTGGTATTCACAGAAATCCACCTGACTCTACCTCCTCAGTGCTGGGATTGTGTGTGTGTGTGTGTGTGTGTGTGTGTGTGTGTGTGTGTGTGTGTGTGTGTGTGTTTAAATGAGTATTATGGGGCTGCAACTCAGATTCTCATGCTCATCACTTTACCAACTGAGCTATCTTCCCAACCTACAACTCACAATTACCCTCTAGTTCTTATGTTCTGTCTTCCCTTTCTCTGACACGTGAACCCCCATGCCCAGCTCATGCACAGCAGATAGGACAGACAAGCTTGTGAGTGGGAGGATCGGAGATGCCAAATGGAGGCAACATCCTGGTGGTGCAGAGGGAGGAGAACCCACAGGAGGGAAGTTGCAATCCTCTGAGGCAGTACAGCGAGTAAGATACAGAAAACAAATACTAAGTTCCAAATACAGATGCCAGTGTGTGTGTCCCCATCAGACGAGGAGGGTAAGCCAGAGAAACAGGGAAGGCATGCTGAGTGGTGTCAAGACAGAAGGCAGACTGTGAAACATCCCCTTGTGGAGCAGAGATTAGATGTCATCAGCGTTTACTGGAGATGAGACTGGGGAGCTAAGTCTCTACAGGTGAGGGTTCCCATAGTGATGCTGTGTGGATAGGAAGCCAGTGAAGCTTCCTGACTGGGAAGGGGTGTTTAAACAACTTACACATACACGTTTGTACAAGCAGTAGGTGGGACAGGAATTCAAGCTACTATCTAGACCCCTGGTTGAAAACTTCCTCAATAAAGAGCGCAACACTCAGCAATGCTATCTTTGTTGGTTGAGATAGGGTCTCATAGCCTAGGCTGGCCTGTAACTCATTAGTTTACACAGATTGGCCTCAAATTTGCAATCCTATTTTTACCTTCTAAACAGTGAAGATTATAATATGTACTACCAGTATGCTCTGCCAATATTGTCTTGAACCAAAATTCACTTAATGGACAATCATTTCAGGTAACAACTATTTCCTATGAGAAGAACTGGCATAAAGGTCATTAACTCCACTTGGGTCCAAGCTTTATTTATGTCACATCCAAGAATATTATAATGTTTCATTTTCCTCCCAACATACCACCATAACTCTGGTGTAGCAATGAGTGCTGGTAGCTTGAGTATCTTCTAATGATTTATCCTTTGTGACCTTGGCCCTGTGGAAAACACTGACTGCTAACATCCAGAGGAACAATGGCATTAGCACACCGATGGCACTCCCCTGCTTCTCAAAGCTTCTAAACTTTAACTCACAACCAGCCTGTCCCATCCCAGGTAAGCTCTAACATGTCACACTGGAGAAGTTTCAACTCCTCTTTCCAATTTACACCTTTATACACACAACATTCTCCTTCTAACTGTGCACCATGTAAACTCCTGCCTATCCTTCACCCTCCCCATGCAAAGCTACCCAGACTTCCACATCACATTGGACCCCTCTGCAGGACTCTGATGTTTCCCACAGGTGCCCTGTAAGGTTTATCTGTAGGGCTGCTAATGGCTAGTTCTGTTCTCCTCTGTGAAGTCTTTGTGGACCTCTTAACCTAACAGGTCCTGGCACAAAGCTGTTGACCCATGAATACCTGATACTCAAGTCATTATTTAATTGGCTTGGAGTCTTTGCAATCTGAGATAATCTACCATGAAGTAACACTGCTTCCATCTGAATCTTATAAGATGATTTATTAAGAATGACTTATAATTCAGGTGACTATTTCTCGATACCTACTGAAAAAAAAATTCTCCAGGCTAATGACTATGCCCTTGATTTTCATCACTGGGCTTCAAGACCTTTGGTCACCTATTTGGGTTTGCCAGAGATTCAGAATAATTTTTCCAGTAATGTTGTTGGCCCTGCCAAAGCTATTCCAGTGCCCAGAAGGTAGGAAGAGGCTTGCCTGTTTTGCTCCTATTTTAGTGGGGCTGTTCAGTTTGCTATGAGAGGACACCATTCTCACAGTGAGCAGAACCAAGAAAGCACAGGCTACTGCTCCCTGAGTTCATGTGACTTCTTTGGCTTATGGCCCAAAAGGTCATGAACTTTGGCTGTACTGTGATTATTATGTGGGCATTCTTTTTCCTGGAAATGCAGATGATGTCTTAATTATTCATAACAAATGAAAATCCCAATGCTGTGTTTACTCTCTGAGGTGGGGGTGGGGCTAAACTTTTCTAAACACGGATTTGAAAGGATTTTCTTCCCAAGATGCTGGTTTTTTTCCTTAAAGAGAACCAGACAACGAAGCTTCCTTTAAACACTCAGAACAGGAGGAGTGTTAAGTGTCTGGATCATACACTGGAAGAAGATAGCCTGGGACATGCCTCCATCCTATTCCTGAAGATGGGGAATGTGGCCTTCTAAAGGATGTTCTCATCCGCTCAAAACCCTGCTTGATGAGAGTCCCAGAGCCCACCTCACGTCAATAGCAGCTTGTATAAGGCCAAGTTCTGCCCTGAGGTAACAGCAGATTCATGCGAAGCCACTGCACACAGTTCTGGTTAGGAGAACCCCAGCTTTCCACCAGTGAGATATCACACACACACATGCTCTGATATACTTAAGTATGGTTCCTACAGGTGACCCCTCCCAAGGGGCACAGTCCTGGCTGCAGGGCTGGGGCCTGGCCTCAGAGTCATCAGCCACCACCTCCTCAGGGTGGTCCCTAGAGAGTAACAGGCGCTCTTGAATCCGCCTGTGGATGTCCAGCTGCAGCCTACACATCTGTTCCTGCAGTTCACTGATCACATTCAGAACTGACTGTGGGAAGGAAGAGAAAGGAGAGAAAAGCACTCAAGGTCAGTCACCAGCAGATGCAGACCTCCTCCATGGGAGAGCAGCTGAGAAGGCAAGGAAGTTTACAGACAGTGAGCACAATGGGGGAGGGGTGGCCCAGGCCAGTCCGTGGCCAGGTCCCTCTCTGATGAACGAAAACACATGTCATAGTTTTTTTTGTTTTGTTTTGTTTTTTCCTGAGACCTGTGCCATCCTTGGACCTGTCTTCATACTGTATGGCCATTCTTCTAAGTGAACAGCTGAGGTACCTCTGTTTGGCAGATCCTTTCATCCAAACAGAAGCAACAGCAGAGGTAGATGACACACAGCACAGGCATACTCCCTCCACACCTGCATCCATGCTACACTTGCCAACACCCACCCACACATCCAAACATGTCAATACAGGTGAGCTCCACAGCACACCCCATGCTTATGAATAGTAATGCACCCCAACTCTAATCCCATTCAGATGCTAATCGGCTTATTTTTACGTCCAACCTATATTTCTCTATCTTGTCAAAAGGTCTCCCAAGCAACTGGGTTGTGGGTGCTTCTGGTCTATCAAGACAGACATATTTCCAGCCAAACCAATGAGCTAGGTCTGATGAAACTTAATACCTTATCTGTGCGTACATGCGTGTGTGTGTGTGTGTGTGTGTGTGTGTGTGTGTGTGTGTGTGTGTGTGTGTGTGTGTGTGTGTGTGTCTGTTTGTGTTTTGAGACCAAAGGACAAGCTTGGTTGTCACTGCCCACCATTTTTTGAGGCAAGGCTAGATTTCTCACTGACCTGGAATTCACTAATTAGGCAAGGTTGGCTGGCCAGTGAGCTCCAGGGACTCTCCTGTCTCAATCTCCCCTAGGGATTACAACTGCAGGCACTACACCCAGCTTTTTTTGTCTATAAATTCTGATAATCAAATTCACCCCCCCAAGCTATGTCCCCAGCCCCAGACATGACTCAATATTCTCTTAATAGTAAAAAAAATTAGTTATTGTGCATTTGTGTATGTATAGGAGTGAGCCAAGATGCACATATCAAAGCCAACAGACAACTTAGGGGAGTTGGTTCTCTCCTTCCACCTTGTGGCTGTCTTCCAGGGTTCAAAGGCAGTCCTCATGCTTAGTAGTGGGCAGCCTCACCACTGATGCACCTCACTTGGCTGTGACTTCCTACTTGGTTTTCAAGGTTCTCACACCCCTCAGAGGTGTGGCTCTAACTTTACAGAACTCATCCAATCTTTTCTGCCAGCTTTAAAATTAAGATGAGAAAGGTTCATTTCCAGATTTCCTGAACTCACTTGATCCTCGATTCCTTAATGTTCACGTACACTGAACAGCACTGAAGCTCTGTGCGGCAGCACTAACCTAGCATGTGGATTCGAGAGGCCCAGCCTTAGCTCCCTAGCACACACAATAACTGGAGCTGGGGAAGATAGCTCCCTGGGGGGGGGGGCTCATTTGATTCTCAGAATTTACAAACAAAAAGACAGAAGAAACAAAAAAATGCAACAAAAACCTCACTGGCAGCTTGCAATGTGGGGAGTGTTGGCCCGATTCTTTGCACTCCTTACAGGCATTGCAACAATCAAGTGTACTTTTTCTTTCCTCTTACTAAAAACATGCCTTTCTTTTAAAAGGCTATTGTTCTCAGCATTGTCCTTTGTTGGGGTTTGACCTTCCTCATAGGGTTCATACAGGTGCACTTTTGTCCTTAGTAAAGGTCCTTCCCATCAGTTGTGCTGCTCCCTGTGAAACCCAGTTTCCCTCAAGGCTAACTACACTAAGCCCTTCCCTCTTACTGATACTGCATGGGAGAGGATGTAGTCAAAACTTCCTCACTGTC